TACAGGTACAAGTATAGTCATTTACTTCATCAGTACATGTAGCACCGTTTTCGCAAGGATTAGGATTACAATCATCGATATCTGAAAAATACAAAAAAATGTTTGCACAATTAAAATTTGCCAATGCAACTGAGTGCACAAATTCAACATAATTATACAGGTTTCGTGTACGGGAAAAGAGAAATTCCAACTTCGATTAAAATCGTTGTCTAATTTATCTGTGGAGGAACCAAACGATGTAGAACCACGTGGATGTAACCCTAATCTCGAGAATTGAGTAATCTTGAAGAAAAGAGATCTACAGCTATCATACTTTCAGTACAGTTCTTGCCACCGTATCCAGCCATACAGATGCAAGTATAGTCATTTACTTCATCGATACAAGTTGCACCGTTTTCACAAAGATGAGGGTGACAGTCATCGATATCTGAAAGATAGAGGCAATTTTATCTCAATATATTTCGAAATAAATTGTCGATGTAATTTATTACGTTAATATAGAATCTAGGTCCACCTTTTTTCTAGAAGAAAACCAAATTCCAACTTTGTTTTAACTCTCCAGAATAAGACCCTATTCTGTGATATTAAATGAACTAAAGGGAAAATGTTTAATTGCAGATTGCTTTTTATAACTTAATGGATTAGTCCCTGAAAATAATGTATCATACTTAGGGAACACTTTCTGCTATCGTAACCAGCCATAAAAAATGCGAGTAAATCCGCGTAGATGTAATCTTATTCTCCATAGATTTAAGTAATCTTGAATAAAAGAGATTGATATATAGCTCTCATACTTTGAGAACAGTTCTTGCCATCGTAGCCAGCCATACAGGTACAGGTAAAGTCATGTACATCATCAGTACAGGTGGCACCGTTTTCGCAAGGATCAGGATAACAGTCATCGATTTCTAAAAAGTACAAATAAATGGCGAACAATTTAAAATTTACAGGAAACCCAGTGCATATATCCAAAATTTGAGTTTCTTGAGAGAAAAAGAAAAGGTATTCTATCTCCGTTAAGACAATTGCGTTTCTCATTTTAGAGGAAAATCGAAGGCTAAAGGCCCCAGAATCATAAGTATGTAATTTTATTATAAGCAAAAGGCTTCAAATCTTATGTTATCTTATTATCTATAATGTGGTGAAATATCAGGGAAAAGATGTATCATACTTTGGGAACAGTTCTTGCCATCGTAGTCAGGCATACAAGTGCAACTGTAGTCATTTACTTCGACGGTACAAGTTGCACCGTTTTTGCAAGGCTCGGGATCACAGTAGTTGATATCTGAAAAGTAAAAATCAAAATTGAACAACTCAATGTTGCCATCCCGAAACATACTGCCGAGATACTAATAAAAGATTACCCCCACATGAGAAAAAAATCCAGGTTCGATTTAGATCCCGGTGTTACTTACTCAGGTGTAAGCAAAGGATTTAAAATCAAGACTATGTAATCTTTATCTCCAAAATAAAGAAGACAAGGAGGAGAATGATGCATCATACTTTGAGAACAGTTCTTGCCATAGTAGCCAGCCATACAGATACAAGTATAGCCATTTACTTCATCAGTACAAGTTGCACCGTTCTTGCAAGGATCAGGATCACAATCATCGATATCTGAAAAAATACCAATAAATATTGCACGATTCAAATTTGCCACTTGAAACGGTAGAGTCTAAGTATTTTGAACAAGGAGAAGAGTATTTACAAATCTTTTAAAATTCATTTTGTCCTCCATTAAATGAATGATGAAGCAAAGAAAATAGATCAACGAGTAGGTAACCTTCAGCTCCGAAACAAATTTTACTAAGAGAAAAATGATGTATCATACGCCAGTATAACCAGCCATACAGGTACAAGTATAGTCATTCAATTCATCGTTACAAGTTGCACCATTTTTACAAGGAGCAGGGTCACAGTCGTCAATATCTGGAAA